GAAAAGTGATGTCGGGGAGAGCTCTGCAAAGGGGGTGTGTGTGGGGGGGGGGTTGCCTATATGTGTGTGTTATGTGTGGGGGGGGTGAGAACAGGTGTGAAGCCAGCAGTAAGTGGTTTTGCAACAGGATTTTAGAGCTGGGCCAGGCTGGGCTGTCCTGAGAGAGAACAATGCACTCACCCCTTCCCAGAGCCAGGCACCCCAGTGCCTCCCATCCCAACTCACTCACCTCACCCTCTGAGCCAGGCCCCCCCGCCTATATGTGTGTGTTATGTGTGGGGGGGGTGAGAACAGGTGTGAAGCCAGCAGTAAGTGGTTTTGCAACAGGATTTTAGAGCTGGGCCAGGCTGGGCTGTCCTGAGAGAGAACAATGCACTCACCCCTTCCCAGAGCCAGGCACCCCAGTGCCTCCCATCCCAACTCACTCACCTCACCCTCTGAGCCAGGCCCCCCCTAGATCCCCACCCCCCACACACTCCCCTTACCCCTGCCCCAGAGCCAGCCCCCCCGCGCTGGGAACACCCTCCCATCAAATCTTGGAACGGGATGACCAGGTAAGGAAATCTGACCTTTAAAGTGACCGCTCCTGCCGTCCAGCCCTGCTGCCTCCGCTTGCAACGTATAGAGACCCTGGAGCATGTAGCCAGCTCCCGGGTCTCTGTTCAAAAGCATCACATGGGCCAGAGCAGCGAGCGCTTCGCTCCCCACCCAGCCTGGGACCCCCCTAACACGGCGCCTGGGGGCACTTGCCATCCCCCTACCCACCCTTCACTACACCTCTGCCACCTCCTGAGACCCACCCTTCTATCCATCCCCGTCTGCTGTCCACTCCCTCAGCATCCCAGGGCCCCTCACCTCCCTGCCCTCTGATAGAGTCCTACACTTCCCCACCCGCCATTCTAGCCCCAACCCCTGCCCACGGACACCTCTGCTGACACGGAGTGTGGGGGACTCACCAGGCCCTGCACCCCCTCTGCAGTGACATGAGACTCAGGCTCTGTATAGACTGATGCCTTTTTCGACAGAGGACAGAGCGTCTAGGACCTGCCGCATTGTGGCACAGCCTGTTGCGCCACTTGGCCTCTGCCTCCATCCTCTGCTGGAGGGTCCTGCCGAGTTCCTGCGGGGCCACGACGTGCTCCTTCAGCCGGTCTGTGTGACACGCCAGTGCCTGCGGGTGCCACGTGTCCGGGATGGTGGTGGGGCGGGTGTGATGCTCCTCTCCTGGGTAGAGGGTCCGGCTGTGGAGGAAAAGAGGAGGAGACCATCAATGTCTGTGAGCACCCACTGCCCCGAGGGCATGCCATCGCTGCCAGGGGCTCCAGGGGCTCTCCTTTGGACAGGAGCCTCAGGCTGTTACACATAACACTGCGTGTGAGTTGGGCAGTGGCCTGAAAACATCACAGGGGCCCCACAGGGGCAATGGGACTAGATGCCCCCCAAACTGCCAACCCGTCCCTGTGTGGTGACCCCTCAAAGCGCTCACCTGATGATCCCTCCAATATCCACGGATGCCTGGGAGGCCTCTGGAGTCTGGAGACCGGCTCCTGGGAGGGGTCCCTGCTGCCTCCTCTTCCTCCTCCTCCTCCGGATGCAGCTCTCCCCCCTCTCCTGCCTGGACTGTTCACCAGGGCTTCTTGCTGGAGGCCTTTTTTCCGAAAGAACAGGCTCCCTGCGTCCCACACCCCTGATTCGACAGGTCTCTGTGGACAAAGGCGTTATTCCTCGTCAAAGGAGGTTTACCACTGTCGAGAAAACCGTCGCCTTCTGTCGATTTCCTGCCGACAGACATGGCGCTGGTCTAGTCGCAGGGTCAGTTTTTTTGAAAAAACCCTGCAGTGTAGACACAGCCTCAGCCAGCCAGGAGAGCAGAAGGGCTGTTTACTGGTTCCCAGGGACACAGCGTAGCTCAGACTTCTTACAGGCACCAGGAGCAGCCAGCACCAGCCGTCTTGGAGACTGGGGGGGTCAAAGCCCCGGCCCCCAGGTCATCCAGGCTCCCTTCTCCTCTTGCCAGTGGAAAACGAACTCCCGCTCGCAGCCACTGCTCAGGGCCCCAGGCCGCCCAACTCCTGCTCTGCTCAGATTCCAGGGCAAAGTGTCACCTGAGTGAATCCTCCACCTAGCCCAGGCCACCGGGGCCATTTCCGGCAGGGCATCAGGTTAGGACTTAGAGTGTGGGGCTGCTGTCTCAGGCTAGCCGAGGGCTGTGCTTAAAGGCACCCAACCCCCACCCCGGACAGACAGTTTTCAGGGTTCCCCGCTTGCTTGTCTATCTCAATGAGGGACAGCAAAGCAGTCCTGGCTTGGAGTGCCCTGAGTGCCCTCACTCGGCACATCACAGCACTCGGCCATCAGCCTGGCTGCACTTGCCGCAGGC